CAAAAAATATGTGTACATGATGAAACTTTCAAGGAAAAATGTATATAGTTTTGTTGGGCTTTTTGAATATATCCACCCATGTGGTGAAAGATGATTAGCCTCCTAGGAAACTGTTTAAAAACAAAAAAGGAGAAAAGATAACACTTCTTTCTATACGATATATTGATACATATATTAAGTGGTTGGAAAGAAATATATATATATGTATATATTCATTATAAACATGAAGAGTCCCTTTTGCCAAGACTAGTTTATAAAGCAGAAGGAGTTCTTCCAGTGGTATACCAGATGCACCGAGTTGCAGAGTCTGGAGGGATTTGTAAACATTGTTGGTCCCAGTGGTCTTTAAGGCATGATCCTCGGTCCTGGACACTTCCAGGTGCACTGCTGGAGAGGGGAGGGTGGGGAGCCCACCTCACTCCAAACTGAATAGCTTTGCCTTCATCTCTACACGTCGGGTTTTCCTGTTTTATAAAGAAGAACCTTTTCTACAGCTAAAAACAGGAAAAAAAAGTCTGAGAACTATTGACAGAACTCAATTATCCAGGCAATTCCTGAACCTCTTCTGTAGACAGATTAACAACAAACACAGATAAACACGTGGATCTCTGTGGTTCCTGTTGTGTAGCTGCAGCGAGGTGTGTTTAGGTAACTGTTATTAGTGGGACAGTGTACGTGGAAGACCCAACCTGTATTTGAAATTAGAATGTTCTGAACATACTCTTTTGCTCAGGGATAGACACAGGTAATGCATTTCTCATTGGGTATGAAATCTGGCGCCAATAGAATTATGGAAAGTCTTTGTAAAGTAATTTTAGGTTTGAATATTGTGACAGCAGGGGGAGCTCGTGGTAGGAACTCTATTTCTAGGCCACTTAAAGAGCAGCAAGACATATAAAACTTAAGTTAATGTGTTTGCATTACAGAGCTTTAGGGACAGCAAGCCCTTATGCTTTGAAAAGCTTTGGGAAGTGATCATACGACTATAATAGGAGAGCTGAGCTGCACGGAAGCTTCTCTATCCTTTTTAGAAAAGGGACTTGCATTGGCGTTGAATGCATTTGTATGTGTTGCCATTGATTTTATCACAAGTTAAGGGCATGGGGATGGGCATGTGTCAGTGGGCTATGTTTATGTGGTTTGATATTGGCTTTAAAAAATAAGGTATACAATCCTGTGGGAAAACTGTATGAATGAACTTGATTACATATATATTTGTGTTATCAGATTGTTCCTTCTTTGTAAGTGGCAATAAACATACATTGAAATCCACACATTCTCTCCTAGGAAACAGTAAAGAACATCTAGTTTTTATCTCCCAAGATTTTGAAATGAACACCTGACTACTTTACAGCTCTAAATACTGATGAGTTTTCTGAGTATATGATTTAAAAGATATCACCACTCATGTATCTTTTTTTTCTTGTAAATCTGAATCACACACTGAACCATGGAATAATGCTTTTTTCTTATTGTTTCCCTAAATCAAATACAATTAGTGAAGAACAAATATTATGCATGCATTTCCTTTTCCTCTGAATTTTGCATATTTGTTTTTTACTATATCATATGTATTAAGAAATTGGAGTTTCTAAAATGATTTATTTTGCTGGCTATGTGAATAAAAAGTGACCTAGTTTGGGGCATTAGTTTACAGAGTTACAAGAGCATTTAAAACACATTTTAATGCTTTTTGCTGAAAACTAGAAGTCTTCTATTATTTTGTTTACTTATTCAGCAACATGTAAGGAGTGCCTCCTACAAGCAAGGTATCGTGTTAAACGCCACCATGAACAAAGTTTGACAATAGACAGTGTTTTCCCTCAGTGTGTCTCGGGCAGACAGATGACCAAATAATTACCATAGAACCCAATAGAGTCTATGATTGTGTTATGAACGGAGGGCTGTTGGGTCACAGGAAAGGGACTCAGCTGGGAGAAACCAGGGAAATCTTCAAAGAAGAGGTAGTGCCCTGGTTGCATCTGGAAGGAGATGTAAAAATTCACTAGAAGAGAAAGGAGAAAGCACCTTCCGGGCAAGGAGCCCGTTGCCCAGCGCAGGCTGATGTGCCTCCACAGGAGGTGTGAAAGGCCTGTCCTCTTGGGGAGGCACTGGGATGTTTGCTAGGCAGGCTAGAAAGGCAGACTGGGAAGATCGTGAAGGGTCTCAAAGGACACGCCAGGATCAGTGAAGATGTGATTCAGGAATTTCAGCCATTCTAGATGCTGTGTAATTGATTAGCTTTTGGCGTTATGAGACTAAAGTTACAGATTTGATCCAGTGAGAACAAGGTGTAATTGGACCTCAATTTTAACCTCAGCTAGAAGCTTTCAGTATGTTCTCCAGTCACCAGGGTGATGAGACAAGAGTGGAGCTGCATCACTACATATTCACTGCCGTGGGGGAAATGCTCAGACACTAATTCCATGCAATACATATTTACTGAGCACATGCCAAGCACTCTGGTAGGTGTGAGGAGATACACCTGTTGTCCAGAGTATATCCAGCTGCTCTTTTCTTATTTTTAATGTTTAAAATTTATTTTTATTTCCATTTTTTTATTGAAGTATAGTTGATCCAGCTGCTTTCTTGACTTTTGCTCGTAGTTGTCTCCGAAGCATCAGTTAACCTCTCCAAATCGTAACTCTTGATCTCACTGCACCCCATCACCTTTCCCCTCGTCTTTCTCATCTCTTTAAATGATTCCCCAAACCATCTAGCACTCAAGCCGGAACTTAGGGGCTTTTCTTGAAGTTGCCTTCTTTTTCATGCACCGTGTGTAACCCTTCATCTCTTCTGCAGTATGTCTGGATCCTTCTGCTCCCGTCTTTGCCCATGGCCAGCACGCTAGCAACCCGGTCTCTTGCCAGAAGGACCCTCATGGGTCTCCTTTTTTACATTTCACTTTCTCCCTAGTCCCTTTTTTAAGACAAAAGCCAGAGAGATCTTTACAGAATCTAAATCAGATAATATCACTCCTCAGTTCAAACTTTTTATTGACTTCCTGTTGCACCTGAAGTAAAAACCAAATTATTTCCTGTGGCCCACAAATGCCTATGCATTCCCCGCCTACCTACCAACCCCCGCCTACCTGCCAACCCCTGCCTACCAACCAGCCCTGACCTGTATTTGCTCATTCACTACATTGGAGTCACAGTGGCCTTTCTTCATTTTTCCCACATCCTATGTGGATGAATAGTGTTACTTGCCATATCAGTCAGTAAACAAAGGATATAGTGGCCATCGAGCCATCACCCACTGCAGACACCCAGACTGTGCACCTGAGGGGACTCAGGATGGGAAAAAACAGCACACTGGCCCTAGAGAGCTAAGATAATTAGCTAATGATTTCATTGAGCCCAGACTCTTGCATGTTTTCATACATAAAAAAGCACTAAATTCATTAACTTGAGGTGTCTGGTTTTCTTTAATAAACAGTAATCTTTCATGTTCCAACTACCTGCTTTTTGTTGCAAAAACTCCTATATATCCTGGCTCCTCTCTTATCTCTTCAGAGCAGTCTCTCAGAGCCATCTGTGAGAGGCTGCCTTCCGGGCTGAAGTCCTCAGAGAATCAGCCGAATAAAACATAATTCTCAACTTTTACATTGTGCTTTTATTTTTTTCAGTCGACACACCCCATGGCCTTGGCACATGCTGTTCCCACTGCCTGGAGTGCTCTTCTCTCCCACCCTTCAGCCAGTTGGTATCTTCTCATCATTTAGGCCTTAGCTTAAATATTACTTCCTCTAGGAGATCTTGTCTTCACCAGACTCTCCTGTACAGGAGGACTGTTGTGACTGTCTTTCCCCTCCTTGCACGTGCCCCAGTTTGTAATAGTGTGTACATCTGTAACTGAAGCTGCATAATCCCTGTCTCCCTCCCTAGACCAGTAACTCCCTTGGCACTGGAATCACGTGTGTTCTCTTTCCCCCTCTACTTCCAGAGCTTAGCACAGTGCCTGGCACACAGTGCATCCTAAAGAGCTGTAAAATGATCATTTAAACTTGTAAAGAGCAATTGACTTTTTTAGTTTCTGAATCTTTAACTACAGATAAGAAAATAGTGGAAAATTAAGAAAACTATTGTCTATTTTTTTCAAACCATTGGAACTATTTTAGGTTCCAGTACAAAGAAAAAGGTATATAGCTCAGGATACCTCATTAAAAGAAAAAGGGTGCAGGTTCTTAAAAATTAGCGTGTGGTTATTGTGTGGTTTGGGGCTATGTTTAAAACAGTGATACATTTTTTAATAGAAATCCTTGACATAAAAAATGAACTGCTCTTTTTACATATTTAGGGCTCAGTTCACCAAAATGTTTAAATTCTTGGCTCTGCTCTTTAAACCTACTACAAAGATCACATTAGAATTCATTTTAATAGACTTTGTAAGCACAGCATCCAATCTCATATGATCACGCTGGGCTCTTTTATTATGAGAATCACAGGAAGCAGAGCCTAAGGCTGCAGAACAGTCATGGGGTGTCCCTGAGGCTGGGGACAGTGCCAGCTCTGTTGTTTATGGAATGTTCTCTCCACCTTTATCTGCGGTGCGCAATTGTATTGACTTTTGAGAAACTACTTCTTCGTCCTGATCTCCCAGCTGGAAAAAAAAACCCTGCCATAACGTCATCTGGCTGCAAAAAAAGAGATCCAAGAAGCATTAGGAAAGAAAAATCACGAGACCTCGTTTTATAAGCAGTTTCGGGCCTGTCCGTCAGATCTGTTAGAAGGAAGCGTGTCATACTTTTTCGAGATCACCTTTTCTTTACCCCCTAGAAAAGCTCAGTGAAAACCGACAATGTCTACCATTCTTTGCTGTCATTAGCTTTTAGCAAAATATCTTTCTGACTTCAGTGATCTTTAGGAATAAATACTGTTCACCAAAATTTAGGTAAAATTTGTTTGTGATACATAACACTTTGTTTATGTTTTGTTTTCTTCTTAAAGAGGAAGACTGTCATTTTTGGTAAATTGGGTTTTTTCCCCCCCAACTTTTAGGGATATTGCTTGAGGGATTTTTAAACATTGTAAGGCAAAAGAAGGAAGTTCAACTATATCGGAATGAAATAAGACACATCTTCACAGCTTTTGACAGGCACTGTAAGTATCTTTAAAGTGTTTCGATGTAAAAAATTGCTGTTAAGGAACTGTGAACAGAAACATAGACTCAGTAAATATAATAATCCATATACTTGGAAGATTATTTTACTCTATTCACTAGCTATTACCTTAGATGTTGGTGTAAGTTTTTTTTTTCCATCACAATCTTAAACTCTTGATATTTACAATGGATGAGACAGTATCTATGTTATATAATTGTATGTATGATTTGCCTACATTGTAACAGGGACTGCAAAAGGGTTGGCCATGCGGGGATATAGGTGACGAGCTACTCAACGGAAGTGTGGAGAACATGTGGCCTTTTCCTTTGACTCCTTCTGTGACTGACATACGATTGGGGAAATCATTTTTCCACATTGGGGTGGCCTAAAGGAGTCGCTTCAGAACCCCTCCCTACAGATCACACACAAGATCGAAAGACACGTGGAGTCCAAGTTCCATATTTTGGCCGCTATGATGGTTTCCTTCTAAATATTAATATGTTACAATTTTAATAGCAAGCAAGAAGAAAAGTGAATTTTTAAGAATAAATTGCTTTGGCAATTCACGAAGACTGGAAGCCCAATGTCATTACCACAGTGTCTATCTCTCAGTTCTTTCCCTGGGACTCAGAGACTCCGCCAATGATAGGGCTGGGAGAGACCTTCGAGATCATCTGGGGCTGTACTGAGGGAGAGTATTACTGGATTCTTAAATTCTTCCAATAAGACAATCTCAAATCACCTTATATGTAAAATCAGCTCTAAGTGACTGCTTTTCTCCTAGTACATATTAAAATCTCACACAAATATTATGGCTGAAATGGCAGTTTATAGGGTTTGTAGAAGTCAGTGAATGTTTCATATTCTGTTTTCAAATAGATCGTGGATATTTAACTCTGGAAGATTTCACAAAAGCGTTTAGGCAAGTGGCTCCCAAGTTACCAGAGAGGATTATTCTCGAGGTATTCAGGTAAGACACCAAAATCTTTTATATATACCCACCCCTTGATTTGCCATTTGCTCTTACAAGCTTTCGGTTTTATGGAGAACACTCGTTTATGCTTATTTTTCACTAGTGAACATTTTCATCTCACAGCATATTGTCACGATCCAGGAGAGAATTTTACAGTTAGCTGTTAGTGCATCCACACCCTTGACGGTGGGCTGTAAAGTGAGTGGAGTGCTTGCACACCAGGAAGGTGGAAAAAAACACTTGTTAGCAGCGGTGGGAAAGGAGCAGAAAGAAAGTACAACTTCTTTGTATGTTTACATATTGACCAGAAAACCTAGCTCTATTAATATTTAACGTGGATGCTGCTGTTCTCCTGTGGTTTGTCTTTCATCAGACACAGGCTACTTGTGGTTCCTGAGTTGTCTGGAGAGAAGTTAGGTTGATCAATGGTGGCCCCTGCTTTGTTTGCTTTCAGAGTTATCGACCCATTTTGTAGTTCATGCACACCTGGTAAAGTAGATTTAGAGATTACATTATGCTGTCTTTATAAACTAATCTTGACAAAATAGGCAGGTGGCTTAAAATCAGTTTCTGTTAGGAAACTGCAGATTGAAGATAGTGTGACTAGTGCAAGCACGCGCTGCCATGAGAAGGTGGCAGAGCTGCCTCTTCTCTGACTGCTAACATGAGTTCTGCATCAATGCTGTTACCAGGTGTATTAATTAGGGTTTAGTCCAGCAGTGAGAGCCAGAAAACCCAAAACAACAAAGCTTAAAAAAAAAGCAGTGCACTTCTCTCCCACATGAACACAGGAAGTCCAGGGCTGATTTGATGGTAACATAGTCATGAAGGACCCGGGTTCCTCCCCTCTTGTTTTTTTGGCTGCCTCAGCACCTGGCTTTTTCCTCTTGCTTCAAAATGGCTGCTGAGGTGTCAGCCATCACACCTGAATTCCAGCTAGGTAGGCAGAAAGGGAACAGAAGATATGCCCCTTCTTTCAAGGCTATCTGTTATTTGTTCTTACATCCTGGTGACCAAAACTTAGTCCAAGGCCATGTGTAGCTGCAAGGGAGAAGTGGGGCTGGAAAATGTAGTCTTTGCTCTGGGCAGTCATGTGGACTCAAATGGAGTTTCTGATACTGAGGAGGAAGGAGAAAATGGATATTGGGGGACATCTAGCAGGTGTCTCATTTGGATAACAGTAGTTTCATGAAATCTGACCAGAAGCCAGACCTGCTAAGTAGAAATTATCAAGCAGGTTATTTGAAATGAGGATCTGTAATCACTGTCATTAACAATGGCATATATGAGATTCCTTTGCCACATGATTTGCAAGCAGATTATTGATCAAGTCATTGAAGAGCAAAGGAGTTCAAGCCAGATGCAGGCAAAATGCTGTTACAGGACAGTGTTACTTAGTTGATTCTAGAACAGCAGGTCCGTTATAGTAGCATCTTTGTGTATACTTTGTGATGAGACAAGTAATGAAAGTGTATTTCTACCACATGGTGATAGTTTTTAACAAAAGAACAAAGAATTTTTTTCATCTTCCTTTTACAAAAAGACAAGTGTCCAAATTTGCTGACCTTTAAGTGTTAAATAGTTTCAGGAGATGCCCCCTCATACCACAAGTGTCATTTTGAAACATACATTTAAATATAGCCCTTCAAGGTAGAAGCAGTGTTTTAACAATGAGTGAAAAAGTAACTGCTTCTCAGAAGAAACCTATGCATTTTTGAATATGGAAGGGCACTTTTGAAAATGGATATTTGGAAATGTGATTCTGTTTTTAAAAATGGTGTGTGTCACCTATTAAAACCCTTCATATCTACTTTTTCAATAAGTTGAAAATGAAATGTCTTAAGCTGGTGAAAAAAATTATACAAGGTTTCAGTTTGAGAGCACAATTTTAAAAAGTATAAAAATTCAGTAGGTTTAATAAGTTTTTAAGAGCAACTAGTTGATGTCAAGAGAGATAGATATTTATTAGCTGAATTTCAACTAGCAATACCAACAAAATAATTTTAAAAAACAAAACAAACCCCTTAAACCTTTTCATTATTGGAAGATGGAATTTAAAACTGAGGGATTCCATGTCACGATGCCCTATTGGTCTCTCTGACAGCCATTAAGACGAAGGATTAAAACAAACTGAATGTGAAATTGCTTAATGGGTTATACTGAGATGTTCAGAAATAATAAAGTATGTGAAATCACACTGTTCTTGTTAAATATTAATAATTTCTAGTGACGGCAAAAAGTCATTTGCCATTAATAAAAAAATTTTTATCTTTAATTCTTTAGAAATTTCTGTATTATGCTTTTCAATGAACATAACATATTAATATTGTAGTACATGTCCATATAGTCTACAAATAAATATATTCATATGCCCAGAAATCTTGTACCTCCTCGGATTGTGATCAGAACACTTCAGAGACCATGGCAAGTCTAGAGCCAAACAGGCATTTTAGTTAATTGAACACGCCCTGCTTAGAGTCTCATTTGTATTATTATTTATAGCACCACAATCCCTACACCAGAATAAATGATGCATGATAAGAATTAAATGAAGCTGTGACACCAAAAGAGAGAAAAAAATTTCCTCTGAGTGTAAACTGAAGTAGGTTAGAGAAACAGAGATGTCTAACTTCCACACATGTCAGTTTCAGTGGTACAAATAATTTTCAAGAATAAGGAAAAGAAAAGCAGCTGCTGAGGCTGTCAGTGATGCAAATTATGTGACGTTTCTAAGGTCAGACGCTCACTGTGTGAGACGCTTGAATAGCTTTGACTTAATTGACCAGCATAAATGGAGTTCCTGCCCAAGGCCACAGTTACCCAGAAGAAAGCTGATAACATGAAGATCACTGTAAGAGTGGAACCACAGTGGGAGACTTCTGATCCAACCAGAATCATCTATGGTTTGAATGATGAAAGAAGTCTTCATAGTCTTCGATTCTTAGATTGCCAGATTCTTCCCAGAGAAACTTCTGAAGATCAAGCAGTACTTTCAGAAGTACTTGCCCACACCACACCTTCATTTCCCAAGCCAAGCCAACCAACCCTAACAATCACACCAGCCAAACAGCCAAAACAATCCAAAAAGACAGACTTAGGGGATTAAGGCATCAAAGAATCCTTTCACTTTATAACTTGAGGGAAACACTGGTGTTTCATTCATTAAATCGGAGGGCTTGACAAGAACTAAAAGAGGTATGTTTATAAGGTTTGTGAATTACTGCCTAACTACTCTGGTAGTGTTTACTTTAGTGATTTTTATCATGAATAAAAGCAATGAGGTTTAAAAAAATACATATATGTATACATATAGTCAGGATTTACAACATTCACATTCTGTTCTGCAGTCATAATCTCTTTTGTTTTAATCTGAGTTCTATAGTTAAGTGGATTCAAAGTTTACCTCCAGGCTTTGTGCTGTAGTTTCTGCTTGGCTAAAGTTTATCCTCTAGGGAGGGACTGTAATAACTATATTCCCTGGTATCTTTCTTCCAGTGTTTCTCTGGGCCACTGTCCTTGAATAAAAAATAAAGAATGGATTGAATGTGGACATTTTTGAGTCACATTCATTTTCTTTGAAAATGCTGATTGTGCTTATGTTGGAAGTCCTTTTACATTTTTTGTTTGTTAATTTCTATTTCTTTTGCTTGCATTGTTCACTGTGTCTCTCAGTATATTTTCAGCACTGTCTATTGTCTTTTGTGCTGTGTCCAGTGCGGCTTTTTTTTTCTGTTATGGTTTTATTTGACTCTTACATTTCTTTCTTGAGCTGTATCTCCTCATGTTTCATTTCATTTTGTTTTTTACTGTATCTTGTTATTTTATAGTATCTCCTCTAAGCATTTCTGTATCTACTTTCAACTCCTGTTTTATGGAGGTGTTTGCTTTATTTAAAGGGGGAAGCAGTTTTTGAGGTTTTATTTTTAATGGCTGATTGCTTGGGGGCTGCTAATTGTAGCTTTTTTTTCATATAAATTAAGAAAGCAAGTTTTCTACCAAGGGAGGGGTTTTGAGGAATCTTACTTTCTTAAACCAAGAGATGATATCTCATGCAGAAAACAAAAACAAAAAAAATTGGTGTTAGTTTATATTACCTCTAAAGATATCATAAAGAGCTTAATATTTGGATTTCACATTTGAGATTCCCTTTCAGTATGTGAAGCTTACAATTTTGGTTTCCATTTAGAGCTGATAATCATGACTTGTGTATCTGTGTACTAAAATAACTGAAGCTGTATCAAAGATGGTATTTCATTATTATTATGACATCCTTAGGAAATTCTGTTCTTTTTCTTTCCCACTTAGCAATATGCATTTTTTTTCTGTTGAAGTACAGTCAATTACAATGTGTCAATTTCTGATATATAGCACAATGTCTCAGTCATGTGTATACATACATATATTCATTTTCATATTTTTTTCATTAAAGGTGATTATAAGATATTGAACATAGTTCCCTGTGCTGTACAGAAGAAACTTTTTTAAAATCTATTTTTATATATAGTGGCTAACATCTGTAAATCTCAAATTCCCAAATTTATCCCTTCCCACCCTCTTTCTCCGGTAACTGTAAGATTGTTTACTATGTCTGTGAGTCTGTTTCTATTTTGTAGATGAGTTCATAGTGTCCTTTTTTTTTTTTAGATTCCACATATGAGTGATATCATATGGTATTTTTCTTTCTCTTTCTGGCTTACTTCACTTAGAACGACAATCTCTAGATCCATCCATGTTGCTGCAAATAGCATTTTCTTTTTTATGGCTGAGTAGTATTCCACTGTATAAGTATACCACAGCTTCATTATCTAGTCATCTGTTGATGACATTTAGATTGTTTCCATGGGAAATTCTATTCTTGAAGAAATTTCTTTCTTTTTATTTCTACCAACTACAAATGGCAGAAGTTTAAGAGGCAGGAGAACTGAATCCTGCTGTTCTTCCAGTGGGATGAATGTGAGATAGCAGGCTGTTTCCAGCACTAAAAGTGTAAAACAAAA